ATTGATAGGAAGTTGTCTGCTATCATAGTAGATAATTGTTCTACTAATGATGTCATGATTGATATGTTGTTAGGAAAACTTTCTAGTGATTCATTATGGCTAGAAGGTAGCTTGATACACATGTGTTGTTTTGCTCATATTTTAAACTTGATTGTTAAGGATGGGTTGGAGGTAATAGGTGATGGTATTGAGAGGGTTTAAGATAGTGTTGCTTATTGGGTAGCAACAACAAAAAGGGAGGAAAAATTTGAAGAAACTGTTAGACAATTAAAAGTTCCAGTTTTAAAAAAGTTGTGCCTTGATTGCAAAACCAGATGGAATTCAACTTACCTAATGCTTAATGTGGCTTTGCATTACAAAGATGTATTCTTTCGTTTGAAACAAAGAGAGTCAAACTATAGATGTTTGGCACTTGAGGAGGATTGGGCAATGGCAAAAAAAATTTGTGAAAAGTTGGTTATGTTTTATGAAATCATGGAAATGTTGTCATGGAATAAATATCCAACAGCTAATATTTTATTCCCTAAGATTTGTGAAATTAAGACTGCATTAAGGAGTTCGTTAACTTGTGGGAAGGTTGTGATAGAAGCAATGGCAGCATCAATGCTGGAAAAATTTGACAAATATTGAAGTTAGGTTCATGGAATTATGGCTATAGCAACTATTTTGGATCCTAGATACAAAATGCAGTTGGTGGAATTTTATTTTTAGAAATTTATGAAGATAAAACTCAAGAGCAAATGCAAAAAGTTATGAAACTTTGTTATAACTTAGTTGATAGGTATCAATCTAAGTTTAATCAAAATGAGAAAAATAGGTCAACAACTAGCTATATTCCATTGATGGCCTCCTCTTCAACTGTTAACAAGGCTGACTTTGTTCACAAATTCAAGTCATTCCTTTCTTCTAAAAGTAATACTCCAATTGTGAAATCTGAGTTGGATACATATTTGGAAGAATCAGTGGTTCCAATTGAGACAAAAAACAGTTTTGATATTTTGGGTTGGTGGAAGGTTATTGAGATTCGGTTTCCTACATTACAAATGCTTGCTAAAAATGTCTTTGCCATTCCCATATCCACTGTTGCTTTAGAATCGGCTTTTAGTACTGATGGAAGAGTTGTAAGCTCACATCGTAGCAAGCTTAATCCAGATACAATAAAAGCATTGATGTGTCTTCAAGATTGGTTCAGAACAGTTCTCAAAGGTATTAAGTTATGTTTCTTTTATTTTTTTTATGTATATTTCTTTTGTTCTTTAATTAAGTAGTTAATTTTTAATTTAAATTTTCATGTTTGAAATAGGTTCTTTGGATGATATATGTTTCTTTACTCAAAATGAGGATGTGGATTGTGATGAAGAC